CCCGTCCGCTCCCCTCTTTTATTCCCCTCCCCCCTCGTCGCCAGCCGCCCCCGACTCGCATCCATCCGTCTCCAGCCACCGAGAGGGGAAATTAGTCCAGACTTTTAGGGTTTCCTGAGAGAGAGATCTGGGAGGGCGCCATGGACGGGAAGCTGCCGCCGCCCAACCCCAACCTCCCGTACCGGGAGGACTGCTGGAGCGAGGGCGAGACGGCCGCCCTCGTCGACGCCTGGGGGTCGCGGTACATCGACCTCAACCGCGGCAGCCTCCGCCAGCCGCAGTGGCGCGAGGTCGCCGACGCCGTCAACACCCGCCCGGGGGCCTCCGCGCGCCGCCGGCCCCCGCGCACCGACATCCAGTGCAAGAACCGGGTCGATACCCTCAAGAAGAAGTACAAGGCCGAGCGGGCGCGGGGCGGGCCCTCCCCCTGGCCCTTCTACCGCCAGCTCGACGTCCTCGTCGGCCCGACCCTCTCGGCCGCCGCCGCCAAGAAGCCCTCCCCGCCCCGCGCGCTTCCCATGCTGCGGAGGCGCATGTCGCCCTCTCGCTCCCCGTCGCCGCCCTCGCCGGCGCCGCCGATGGCGCTCCCCCTGCCCAACTACCGCCGCGGGTCCAACCTCCCGGCCGCTGACCTCTTCCATAAGGCCGCCGCAGCTGCGGCCGCTGCGGATTCTGACTCGGACGATGGCTACAATAACAACAACTATGACGACGACGAGGGCTCGCAGCAATCGGCCTCGCGCTCAGTGTCGTCTCACTCTGGTGGTAACGGTCCTCCTGTTCTTGGCAGTGGTGGGGGCGGCGGTGGCGGCAACAAAAGGAAGAGGGGCGGGGCTGGAGGTTTTGGGGAGCTAGCGATGGCAATGGAGACATTCGCTGAGATGTATGAGCGCATGGAGGCTGCCAAGCAGAGGCATGCAGAGGAGATGGAGAAGCAGCGGATCAAGTTCCTCAAGGATCTGGAGCTCAAGCGGATGCAGGCTTTCGTGGACATGCAGCTTCAACTTTCGAGGGTAAAGCAAGCCAAGAACGGTACCTCGGAGATGCTCATGTCTCTTGCTGCACTGCCGTTCCTCAGCAACCCTGCTTACCTCTGATATAAGAGTTTAGGTAAGGAATTTGGCCTCTTAAAGTCAGATTTTAGGTTACTGTAATAGACTTGGGATTGATGATGTGTCTTTGTATGCTATATTGCCTTATGTGGAACCAATGCAGATGTTCTGATATGCTTAGGTGTTCACCCATGTTGAACATATGTAACCAGAGATCTAGGCTACCTTTTATTTGTGCAAAGCAATGCTCAAGTAATTGTATGTTTGGCGATTTTGCATTATGAGAGACCAAGGCCTGACTTATGATAGCGACTAGCGATCTAGGAGATATTAGTCAGTTGATGATACACCCCCTGGAAATCCTAGATAATGAATGTTTTGCGTGTAGTCTCCCAGTGTGTTGCTGCATCTGCGTCGTCTGGTCGGCTCGCCGCCACGCACACGCGATTGCTCTGCGTATAGGCGAATTGTTTAATTTGTTGATGATGCATCTCATCTTCTGTTCGGTCAAATTCTTAGTTATCAGGTCCTCTTTGATCTGATCTGATAAATTCTAATGGTCGACTCTTGTGTATGCCAGTTTAGAATTTGTGGTTATATGCTTATATTAGATACATTGGTTTCTGATTCATAGTTTTCTGTTGTGAGTAGGAAATGCTGAAAATCTTTTCTCTAGTGTTATGCTGATTTGATGTTAAGTTTTTGTTTTGTTTTATATTGGAAGCATTTGAAGATCTTCTTTTGTACTGGGGTTTCATGCTTAGATTAGTTAAGCTGGTGATGAATGAGTATTGTTGCTTGGTAGATTATGGAGTGGGCTGTGAGATAGTTTCCCATTAGATCCTGGTCGCCGCCTTCCTTCTTCTTTCGCCAATAGGCTGAAGTACAATTGCCAATATTTCCTAAATTCTGAGAGGAATTTGTTTCAAATATGTTAAAATTTGGTCTCTAATTATCACATATTCTTGTTTGTCAGCTTTGATCATGTGGTGCACATGTTGATCATCTATTCTTGTGATACTGGCCTTTATTAGGTGTTGATACTATGATGTTATTTGTTTATTAACTGTTACAGTCCGTTAGGGATGTGTTACCAACTTGTCGTACCCCCATCATGAGAGCCATTGACTTGACAATTAGTGTCCAGGCCTCAGAGTCCAGACTTTGAGGTTTGAGCATCAGTTGTCTTGGTAAAGCTGACTTGTATGTAAAAACGGACGTTATGGATTTATGGTTATTGAATTCTACTCCCTCCGTTCCTAAATATAAGCCTTTTTAGAGATTCCAATACAAACTACATACGCAGCAAAATGAGTGAATCTACACTCTAAAATATGTCTATATACATTCATATGTAGTCCGTATTGAAATCTCTATAAAGTCTTGTATTTAGAAACAGAGGGAGTACATAAGAATAGCGGGAAGTTCTTGTGTCAGTTGTTCCGGTGATGATAGAATTATATGACCAGTTGGTTTTTGGTTTTGTGAAGCTCTCTTGAACCACATCACATATAAGTTGGAAAATACATGAGGGCTTATGGTGTTTGCATGTTAAGCAGTTGTGAAAAACTCACCAGAAAAGTGAATCGTGTATAGGTTTATCCCCAAATTTGCTGTTGATTGTGCTTCATTCTCGTTACATTTCCTTGTGTTACTAGCATTCTTATGTACCTATATATTTGTTTCTGTTTTCCAGATTACTTGGAGTCAAGCATGGTATGGTGCTGCTCTTTGATGAAGATCAATCTAGGTTCATTGGTAGTTTGGTGTATAGGCTCTGGAGTCCGGATGTGTAAAACAGATGCTTCTGCTCCAGCCAAGAGCTTTGGTGTCGCCTGCGTTTTCTGGACTATAGCCGTTGGCGTTTTGTCTCTTTTCTTCTGCTGGGATGTTAACAGACAATTTCGTTGTTTAGTTTTTGTTTCAGTTAACATGATTTACAAGGTCTGTAACAGAAAATACTGAATATGAATCAACTCAAGCCAGCTGCTTTGAAATGTACATTCGAGCTGGTTGGGGCTTTCTCAGTTTGCAAGGCGCTGACTGGAAAACGGAACGGTGGCATATGAATGAAACTCTCAGATTGAGGTATCCAATTTTGGATTTGGCTCACAGTTTTGGATGGGTCATGACCCTTGTGGGTCCTTTCGATCAGCATAGCACGCCTACGGTTTCGAGATGGTAAGAGATGTTGTGCATGGAGGTGGCTTAAGGACGACTGTAGGGAGAGACATCTGTCTCGGCCGGGTGCTCAGCGGCTGCGAGGAGGCGGCTTAAGGGGCGTCCGGCGGTTGCGGCCTCAGTGGCTGGGAGCGACGTCTTTCCCTGTTGGGGTTTGATGGTTGCATCCTCGCGGGCTCGGAGTGGCGTCTTTTCTTCGCTGCCTTCCTCTTGCATTTGATTGCATGTCTGTTATGCTGGTAAATTAGAATGGCTTGTTGTTCACATGCTTGACGAGTTTTTTGATTCTATTCTGATGCTGTGGGGTAGTGTCTGCGTGTTATTTTCTTGCCGCTGCTAGATGAACAATGTTGTTGTGGACGTCTTAAGGGAAAATATAGGGAAAATACGGTTGGTTGTGTGTTTCTCTCCAGTTTTCCTCTGTTTGGATTTGTTGGGTTTTCAGGTTTACACTTAGCCTGAGATTATTAGGTCGGCGGTTTTGTCTAAAGAAATTGTATTTGTATGTTATGTGAAAGGTGGCTAGCTGTCTTGTTTTTGTCTTTGGGTTGTTAGTTTTCTCTGTTGTGTTTCCCCTTTTTGTGGTCTAATTTCTCCCTTTTTTGGGTGCGCTATCTTGGTACGTTGAGAGGTGTCTTTCTGAAAAAAGGGATTTTGATAATTTGCCACAGCTTTCTTCGCACTTTGATGATTTGCCACTGTTTTGATTGACACTGAATTTTTGCCACACCTTTGGCAAAACTTTGATGATTTGCCCCTTTTAACCGATTTATTCTGTTTTACATATAATACAGTTGAACTGATTATCAAAATACCCCTTGAATCAAAGCGGCCCAAATTGGTTGAACTGAATCGATTCACAAGAACTGCTCTGTCGGTTGCCTGCACTTCTCCGTTCGTCCCCAACCTCGGTGGCTCGCTATGCTGCTCCTCTTCCCTTGCCTGTTGGACGCCCGAGCTGCCATGTTGTTCGCTTCTACGGCCATGTTCAGCTAGCCATGCACGCCCATCTCCGTCTACCAGAGCAGGTCGAGCCCAGTCGTTGCGGCTGCCATGCGCGGCTGTAGGTCAAGCTCGGTCGCTGCAGCCGTCGCGCGTAGCGCCGGCACCCGCCGCGGCGTTTGCCTCATCACCTCCTCTAAGGCTCTAAATCGAGGAAGGCCAACCAGATCGGCAGCCGCAGGTCGAGCCTACTTGCTGCGCCGCCGCACGCAGCGTCGCCTTGCTGGTTGTGGTTAGGGTGAGCGCCAACGTTGGTAATCGTCGCGTCGTCCGAGAGCTTCCACGACATACAGTGGTAGCCAAGTAGCGCCGCTTTGCTGGTAGTCAGGGTCACCGCCAATGTCGGCAACCGTCGTGTCGTTCGAGAGCTTCCACGGCATACAGTTGTAGCCAAGCAGCGCTGCCTCACCAACCGTGGTCACCACAGCACACCGAGCTGCTGAGGTAGGCTAGCAGCGCGAGCACCCCGCGAAGGAGACAGTCGCGACGGCCGGGAGCTTCCACAGCACGCGGAGGTCGGGGCTTCGGCTTGTGCAGGTCATCGCCGTGGTTTGGTCGAGGCTGGGAGAGGTGAGATGGTACTCGGCCTAGGCTGTGCTGTGGTCATCTGGATTGCAGGGACATTTTAGACATTTCACGGCGGGCCCATCTTGTCAGGGGCAAATCATCAAAGTTTTGGCAAAGGTGTGGCAAAAAATCAGTGTCAATGAAAACAAGGGCAAATCATCAAAGTGCAAAGAAAGCCGTGGCAAATCATCAAATTCCTCTTCTGAAAATGATGTCATGAAGGGGTTGAAGAGGTTCAAGATTGGCCCTCACTGCTCCTTGGCAATGCCTTTGTCCTGTCATTTTATATGTTTGATTTGTCTATTTTCTTTCACCTCCCTTGGCATATACAACAACATAAATACTAGTAATTTTTTTGCAGGGAATTTAGAGCTTTTATTCAAACGAAAGCATTCTATGAACAGTCAGCAATAAGGCTGCTGATCAGGAAGCTGGGAGTCTCCGTAAGCCAGCTTTCGGTGCCAGTCACCGTGCAAGCACGCTTTGCACAAAGATGAGCTGGACCATTGGCTGATCTACTTACATGTTCGATTACAAAAGAATGAAAACTATCAGAAAGCTCTTCAATTTCTAAGATAACTGGTGCCACAACTGAACGACTGCTGCGGCGAGTGTTCCAAAGGTTGACCACCTCCAGGCTATCGGTCTCGACCACCACATGCGTAAACCCTCTGAGATTTGCAAAAATTACTCCATCCCGAACTGCAAGGGCCTCCGCTATCATGGGGTCAGTAACTCCAGGTTGTGGTTTACACCAAGCACCTAACAGGGCTGTGGATGATCTTGCAACATCACCAGCTCCACTTTTGCCTTCGTCATGAACGACTGCTGCATCGGTGTTTATCTTAACTTGATCTGATTCCGAAGGCCACCACCCATGCCCTGGCAAAACTTTTGTGTGCTGTACGGGAATATCAAGTAGGGCCAGAGCTTCTCGGGTAAGTCTCATCGAGTTGGCCGGGTCGAGTTTATCCCCATCATGTGTCCATCTGTTCCGGGAAGTCCAAATAGACCACATCACAGTGATTATCGTTGCTCGGTCTCTCTGTGAGAATCTTGGTTCACATAAAATATCAGCTGCCCAAGTTGTTATGGTCCTTATGTTTTCTGAGTGAATGGTTTGTTTGCTCATCTCATGGATTCCTTCACTAGTGCAGAATGGGCCTAAGGCAACACATCTATCATTGGACTGAACTATGTGCGACGCATGCATCACAAATGGTAGAAAAATAAACTTGTGTGCCAGAAAACAAAACGCGTGCGATGGATGCATCACAAATGGTAGAAAAATAAACTTGTGTGCCAGAAAACAAAACACGTGCGATGACCCATCCATCGGGCACGATTTTCGTATGAAGACAGTGTGTGATAAGGGGCACATATCAAAGTGTAGAGTTGCGTGTGTAATATGTCGTTATAACGCGCACGATTAAAATGTTGGCAATGTGTACGCTCATTGGTAAATGCTTTACAAAAATGAAATGTTTGTGATGGTTTGAAGCATCGCGCACTGTGCGTCGTATGAATACTGGCGTGTAAAAATTTGAAAGTTACACACATGGTTTTTTAAAGGCCACTCGTGTGTGTTAACTTGTGACAACGCAGAAGATTCCGTGCTAGCTCGCTCTTCCTTCTTCCCTAAGTTTTCCATTAATGGCGTTATTCAAACATGCCACCATTTCCTGCCAGTCCCTCGTCGGTTTTTGCTTGCTCCCGCATGAGTTGTTGGATTCCCCTAAGCGTAAGGATGAAGCAGAACGGTAGTAAGTATTTTCTTCGGTTTAAAGAACCAAGATTGTTAATCCAGTAGGAGTCTCCCAAGCTAAACAAGTGAACAACACCTGCACATGCGACACAAAGAACTTGTCTGCAACACGGCAAGAGGGCTATCAATCCCTTGTCTTGCTAGTTACTCCCTCAGTCCCAAAATAAATGTCTCAAGCTTGGTACAACTTTGGGACGGAGGGAGTACATGATTAAACTGCAAATGATAGACATAGTAGATAGCAATATAACACGGCAAAATAAAAGTGTCAATGGTGTTGAAGAATTCAGTAATGGACATAGATCCAGTGGGTCCATAGGTTCACTAGTGACATCTCTCTCAAAAATAGGCAAATGGCATGGTAAACAAATTAGAGTTGGGCAGCGATTAACATGCAATATTTATGACTATGATCATTTATGATATAATCTCATATAAGCATTACTTCCTTGATAAGTAAACTGTTAACCTAGATGCATCTACTACTAATACTTCACCCCCAAAATCGCTATCCAACATGCATCTCAAGGTATTAAGTTTGCAACATAATGTAGAGAGAAACACATCAACCAATATGAAAAAGGGTTGTTTTATCCTTAGTGGCAACAATACAATACTTGTCTTCGCCCTTATTGTCATTGGGTTAGAACACCACAAGATTGAACCCACTACAAAGCACCACTCCCTTTGAAGAAAAATCCATCGAACTTGGCCAAAGAAGATAGATACTCTCTTCGTCCCATAATATAAGAGCATTTTTGACACTAATGTAGTGTCAAAAACGTTCTTATATTATGGGACGGAGGAAGTAGATTGGAAAACATGAAAAGCTATTTAATTATACAACAACAAAACCTCAAAAGATGTAACTGAATTTAATGAACAATCTGATCCGTAAAGTGAAAATTCAGCATATCTCAACAAACACACCATCGATTACATCGAATTGATCATGATCAGCTCACAGGAACATGATATTGAAGAGAGAGAGAGAGAGAGAGAGAGAGAGAGAGAGATAGAGAGAGATCTAGCTACTACTATGGACCCTAAGGTCCTAATGGAACTACTCACACATCATGGAGGTAGCAAGGTTGATGAAAAGAAGACTCCAATAATAGCGAACAAGCCTCCAGATTGGATCTTCGCGAAACAGGAACTTGCGACGGCGATAAATTTCTTCTAAAAATACATCGAAGGGTTTCAGTATTTATAGGGATTATGGTGGTGGAATTGAGGTAAGGCAGTCCCCGTGGGCCCCACATGCCCTGGTGGCATGCCCTAGGGCATGGCCGCACCACGTGGCCGTGTGGACCCATGGTTGCTCCTCTCGTGCATCCCCGAAGCTTCTAGGGTCCTTCGTCGTCCAGATTTTTTCAAAAAAAAATTGGCGTCGTATTTTGACCTTCCTAGATATTGATTTCCTACGAAATAAAAAACATGCAGAAAACAG